TTTTAATGTAATTTCATATCAATGAATTTTTTTAATATTTTAATCATATAAATTATTTTAATTTTTACGATAATTCAGCAAGGACTTCTGGAATGTAATGATAAAAGCGCCATCTATTATGATAGTGAATTCTTAACACCTAGCGCATTAGCGGTTGCTGTGAGTGTCATCATCGTGTTTTAATACGTGTCCATTGGTACCTGTTTGTCCGGTGTTTCTATTAAGCAATATTTGTTTCGTGAATCTATGGAGTATCTTTATTGTAAAATATCTTTGAATTTCTATTTGTATTAGCATAAGGCGCCTAGTGCGCCTTCCCGTCACGATGATCATGTGTCGGGCTCGATTGTTATTCCATTTTCTGGCGCTTAGCCTACTCCCCTTTGTCTATCTCGACGAGCACACTCACATTGTAAGTATATATTCAGAAAATTGACATATTTTCAAAATATTTAATATTGTAGATTTTAATAACTAATCTTTAATTAATAATTTTATTAAAAATTGATTTGTTTTCATATATACATGTTAATTGTATTATGTTTTACATATTTATATATGTATTGATGGAATATATTTTCTTTTCATTAGTATGAAGATAATGATGAAGTTGTATTGTGGATGAGTACTGTTGGACCATATCATAATCGACAGGAAACTTATTCTTATTATTCATTACCTTTTTGTATGGGCACAAAAAATGTTATTAATCATTATCATGAAACTTTTTCTGAAGCATTACAAGGAATTGAACTCAAATTTAGTGGTCTGGAAATTGAATACAAAGGTATTTTGAAGTTTTATTAATTAATGGTAGATATTTTAATTATGATAATATATATTTATTATCTGATAGCTGATGTTGCAAAAATGGATTACTGTCAAATAAAATTATCTGAAGAAAGTGAAAAGGCTTTTATATATGCAGTGAAGAATCAATATTGGTATAAGATGTATATGGATGATCTACCAATATGGGGTAAAATTAAAGTTTTAATTTTTTTTAATTCTTGAGTATTTTCCTATTATATTAATTGATTGTTATTAATATTTAGGTGTTGTGGGAGAGCCTGAAGATAATAATGGAATTGTATCTTATTATATTTGGACACATAAGAAATTTGATATAGGATATAATGGAAAGCAAATAGTTGATGTAAATTTGACTAGTGAAAATAAAATTAAATTAGTGCAGGATACAGCCATTTCTTTCAGTTATGAAGTTAATTGGAAAAAGAGTAATGTTAAATTCGAAGATAGATTTGACAAATATCTGGATCCTAATTTTTTTCAACACAGAGTAAATATATTTTAATCAAAAAATGTGAAATTAAAAATTATATATTATTTTATTTTAAAAATGGATTTTTATCCTTTATTTTTTTCAGATTCATTGGTTCAGTATTTTTAATAGTTTTATGATGGTAATCTTTCTTGTTGGACTTGTTTCAATGATTTTAATGCGTACATTAAGAAAAGATTATGCTAGATATAGTAGGGATGAAGAAATGGATGACATGGAACGAGATTTAGGTGATGAATATGGATGGAACAAGTTCATGGAGATGTATTTAGACCTGCTAGTCATGCAATGCTTTTTTCAGCTCTTATAGGCGCTGGATATCAGGTAATTATTCTAATTAAAAATTTCTAAATCAAACTTTTAAATTTTTAAAATAGTAATTATAACATTTTATGAATTATTTTATTTTAGGTTACTGTGGTTGTACTTAGTGTTATTATTTTTGCTATCCTCGGAGAATTGTATACAGAGAGAGGATCGATGTTATCAACAGCAATTTTTGTGTATGCTGCTACATCACCTATAAATGGTTATGCTGGAGGAGGTTTATATGCACGTATGGGAGGTCGTATTTGGATTAAACAAATGATTCTCAGTGCCTTTATGTTACCTTTTATTGTTTGTGGCACTGCATTTTTTATTAACTTCATTGCAATGTATTATCATGCCAGCCGTGCTATACCATTTGGTTCTATGGAAAGTATTATTTATGTAATTCTTATTTATTTATATATTATATACATTTGTTTTTTCTATATATTAACAAAAATATTTTATTATAGGTAGCAGTAACATGTATTTGTATATTTGTTATATTACCATTAACATTAGTTGGAACTATTTTGGGTCGTAATTTAGCTGGAACTCCAGATGCACCATGCAGAGTTAATGCAGTACCTCGACCAATTCCTGAAAAAAAATGGTTCATGGAACCATTAGTTATTATTATGCTTGGTGGTATCTTGCCCTTTGGATCAATATTCATTGAAATGTAATATTCATTTTTTATTTATCATTAAAATTTATCATTAAAAAAATATGTCAAATTATTTTTTATATATATTTTTTTTTAGGTACTTTATTTTTACCTCATTTTGGGCATATAAAATTTATTATGTTTATGGATTTATGTTACTAGTATTTGTTATTCTAATGATAGTAACTGTTTGTGTTACTATTGTATGTACATACTTTTTATTAAATGCTGAAGATTATCGATGGTAAACATTATTTGATTATTATATATTAATTAATTATGAATATTGTTATATAGTGTTTTATATTTTTATATATTTTTTATAGGCAGTGGACAAGTTTCTTAGCGGCTGCTTCAACCGCTGGTTATGTCTATATATATTCCTTCTATTATTTCTTCTTTAAAACTAAGTAAATTTATATTATGTTTGATTAATCTCATGCAAATTTATTAAAAAAAATAGAATGTAATTATATTTTTCTTTTTCAGAATGTATGGTCTCTTCCAAACGGCATTTTATTTTGGTTATATGGCATTATTTAGTCTTGCCTTGGGTATAATGTGTGGAACAGTTGGTTATGTTGGTACTAATGCATTTGTACGAAAAATTTATTCTACAGTCAAAATAGACTAAACCACAATTCTAGGATAACATCTACAATCGACTAAAATAAGAACATACAGAATAAAACCTGCCGGTTTTTATAAAGTAAAACTTATTCTTTTGGTTGAAATTAAAGTTATTTATGATGTACAGATGCAACCCATGAAAGAACTATATTAATTTTAATGAAGTGTAGCTTAAATATTTAAAGAGAAATATTTGTTATATCATTTTTTTAAAATATTCAACGAATATTTTATCATCCTTATATCAATTGATGTAACAATGATACTTTCATTTCAAGAAAATGATTAATTTATTTGTTTTATGTTAGTAAAAGATAAGTTTTACGAAGGTTAGATATTTGCGAAACAAATAGTTTAGCAATTATTCAAACAATTATACATATTATTCATTTCATGAGTCACAATTTAATATTATATAAAATATAGGCTCCGATTATTATATGATAGAATTATTTTACTTAAAACAACCAATTTTTTTAAGATTATTCAATTACATTATATTATAATATAATTAATTTTGTCTGAAATTTACTGATTATTTTTTTCTTGGAATTTACATAAAAATTTATATATTTATGTAATATAATTTGAAAATATTTCAAGAATTTTAATATTTTTTTTTAGATAGAAATATAAATAATTCTAATTAGATATCAATAGTTAAATTGAAAAATAATTAAAACAAAAAAATTTTTATAAATTTATAGATTATTATGTATGAATTATGTAATATTAATTTTCGATACAATTTAATCACACAATCTGTACTTCAGTTTTTTAAAAAAATATTTAAAGTTAAAATAATACTTTTGTGACTCTGAATTGAAATTATAAATATTTGTTTACTAAAAATTCAAATAATATTAATTTATAGGTAAGTTAGGATTAAATGTGAATTATAAGAAATTTTTTTACCATTAATTGCGCATTATATGTCACGACATGTCATTTTTTTTGTTGTGAATACTCTTCATTATGAATTGTGAGTGCGTTGGTAAAGTGTAAAATATTGTAAGTCTATAATGGTGGTAAAATTTTTAATTGTGATCTTTTTCACGCGGTTAAATATCTAATTATATGAATTATATTAAATATCTAATCGCTGTTGAAAAAAAAATAAAACGGAAAGGGATATGGGAGTTGTAGAGAGTATGTTTATCTTAACGTGAAGCATTGCTGAATGAATATCGATGAAAATATTCGAATGAACCATATGGTTTGTTAGACGTAACAGTTCTAAGAAATATAAAATTTCTACATGCAAAAATACAATTTACTTTTATTTATACACATATTCATTTAAAGTAATTATTTTAAAATTTATAAATCGTTTCTTAAATTACTGATAGTAAACAGCAAAAATAGATTTCATTAGTTGAAATTATTTTTTATTTTAATTTAAATTTTTTCTAAAATTTTATTTATTAACTTATTTTTCCTCTATACACAAAATATATTATTTTTACATTTAAAAATAATCACAGTGCGTGTATAAGATATACATTTAAAGAACCGTGTTTATACTACGTTATTCAAACATATTTCATGTAAAATATTTAGATGATTATGAATATATTAATAATTAAATAAATGTTAAAATAATGTATGTATATATAATTATAAAAATCAGAATATTGTGAAAAATATAATTATTAAATTGATTCTGTTGGTGCCAGTGTGGCACTAAAAGTTACTCCGTCTATATTCCAAAGTATTCACGTGTCAAAGCGCACACGTCGATGTAAGGGATAGAGTGTAGTGTATACACTTGTTTATAGCACAAGAACGTCATATTCTAATACACGTACAGTGACTAAAATAGTGTTTAAATTATTTATTAATTTATTTCAAATCTTATTGAAGTACTTTTGGCAAATAAAAAACAATAAAGATGGCACCAAAACAAAGAATGCGTATCGCTAACGAAAGGGCTACAAAAAATATTACACTTCGTGGAAATGTTCCAAAGTCATCAGTATGTTATATTTTATTATCTAATAAAATATATTTAAATTATATATAAATTTATTTAAACAATTAAAATGTATTATTTACATTCAAATATATAATTATTGGTTTTTAATATTAAGGTTAATTGACAAAATAATTGATATGCAATGGTATGCAATGATAGTAATATATATTACTTCTTTATATTATTAATTTTATATTATATATATTTTAATAATAATTAAATAATGTTAGATCTTATTTTTAATATTTATGATTTTTTATCTTTTAACAATAATAAAAATAATCTAGTAATAAATCTACCATATGTAATATGAATATATATTTAATTTAGGAATCAATTATTTAAATATTTTTTTATTAAAGTATGAATTGTAAAATAATATATAAATTTTTTTTATTATGAATTTAATTATTTTAATTTTTATATCAAATTATTACATTTAATAATATTCTAGAAGCCACAAGATGAAGGATCTCCTGTTGGACCTTGTTTATTAGCACTTTTTCTCTTTGTTGTATGTGGTTCTGGTGAGTTTTATTATTATAATTTAAATATAATTTTTTTTAATAAATATATAGAAAAGATTTATATATCTATATAAATTAAAATTTTTTAACTTCCAGCTGTATTTCAAATAATTCAAAGTATTAGAATGGGTTAAAAAAACTAAAAATATGAAGATAAAAAGATATTGCTATTGCAGTTTATATTAAAAAAATTGTCTACATCTTATTGGTATACAAGTGAAAACAACAAACTGTCTTTTTGCATATTGTAGATGTCGTAATGATATTGACACAAAACTGAATTCAAATTTCCATTAAACAATTCCCTTTTTTTGCTACAATTCATAAGAATTATTGTAAAAGGAATTTAGCATTTATAAACATTTTATGTAATTGTATATATGTATATCAATGAAAGAATATTACATTTAATATATTTTATTTACAGAAATCAAAATATTATAAATTAAATAATTTTTTTTTCTGTAATTCTGTATAGCATTTCTTGCTCTCAGTCTTATGAAAAATTTAAATTCTTTCATTGATACTTATATATAATAAATAATTGTATATATATATATGATCAATTTATTGTATCAATTTAATCAAAGCATTCCAATGTAAGCAGTTGGTAGCTTTTGGTTGTCTATATTTTTAGAGGCCTTAAGACATGATAAGTCATTGTACGTGTAAAAAATATATATTATATGTATTTTCAATGTAATTTATCCTAATGAAATATTTGCTATGGACAATTGTTTGTCTCTTTTAATAAATTATATTATGAATAAATACATTTTTGTATAAACTTAATTGATCCTTATAGGAAAAACAAAATGAAAAAAAAACAATAAAAAAATTTATTTAAATTCGTTATAAATATAAAATATTATAAATAATTGAAATGTTTATATTTATATGTATATCACATATAATGTGATATAGTAATAAAATATTTTATTTTTTATATAAAAAAACTTTTAGTAATTTAAGATTTCAATGTGACCAATTTTCCCTAGTTTTGTTTAGAGAGCAATTCATATTAAACGGAAAGCTTATAGAAACCGAAACGTTATTAAATTATTTTTCTATTTTACAAAATATTTTTTTTATTATTTTAATTTTATTTTTCGCTAAAATTTTTATTATGGCTAACATATTTAATTTATTTGGTGAAATATCAGAATTTCACAAAGGTAAGAATAAGAATATATAAAGGTTAATATTTATTCTTTTTGTTTTTTGTAAATGTTATTTTAAATTAATATAATATTATTAATAATAAAATTACTATAGGTTCAACTACAAAATCTCTAACAAGATCAAAAACATGTCTTGGTATAAATGGTTCTTTAAAGAATGTTGGTCAATCAAAACCAAAAGGATTATCAATTAGATCTAGTTCTGATTTAAATGTACCTGAAACTGTGCAAGCTACTTTCAACAAACAACAAGAATTGTTAAAGCCAAAACTAACACAATTAGATAATGATGGTCAACTAATATCACCTAGGAAAAATATTTCATCAGAAGTATAAATTATTAAAAAATTTTACAAATAAAAAATTATAAAATATAATTATTTTATAAATAAGATTAATTTTTTACAGAAACTAAGTGCATTTTCCATAAAAAAAAAGATATATCTCCAAAAAAAGAACTTGATATAAAACATGTAAAATCACCTTTATCGTATAATGAAAGTATTTTTAAAAAGCCATTACTTTTAAAAAATCATGTTAAAAAATTATATTCTGAACCAGAAAATTTAGCTCCATATTATGATATGCAATTTGAATTTGGTATGATAATTTAATTACATAATTTATTAAATAATTTGAAAATTATTAAAAATTTATTAAATAATTTAAAAAATTTTTAATATATTTTTACAGATGATATTTATACTAAAGACATAGAAAATGAATTTAAAGAATTACTTAAAAAAAAGGGAAATGAAGTAATACCTTATGAAGATGAATTTGAATTAGGTATAGTACATTTAATTATATATTTTTTATGTATGTATTCTACATATATTTAATTTAAAATTTTTTATTTAGATCAAAGGCAAATTAAGTTTGAAATACCAAAATTATGTATACCTATATTTGATGAAGAATGGATACAATATAAAATTCCTGATTTACCAGAAATATCTAATGAATTTTAAATATAAAATATAACCAATTTTAAATATAAAAATATTCATTTAACTTAAGATTAACTTTAAATTTTTTTTATCAATAATTTATTAATATAAAATAATTTAGAACAATCATATTATATTAAAATATATCTGAAATATATAAAAGATTAATTTTAATTAATTTATTTATGTTAATTATTTGATTTTTAAAAATTAAATACTAATTATATATTCTGACATTAAAATTAAAAAATTTTCAAAGTTGATTAATTAATAATTGAATGATTTCTATATTTAAGATCTATTATATAAATAGATAAAAACAAGTTAAAAATAAAATAATTTAATAAAATTTTAATAAATTTTATTTTCTTTATACATGAATAAATTTTTATAAATATATTTTATCAATATGTTTTTATCAAAATTTTTGAAAAAGTATTAAATGCTCTTTCAATTGTTAATAATACAAAATGACAAATAGATGTTTAACTGTAATAGCTGGTATTTTAGAAGATCCTACTTTTAATCATATATGTTTTATTGCCGAAAGTTTATCTACAATATTACCGAATTTTCATTATAGAAGTATTAGTAAAAGTTCTTTAAAATGGGAAGTAAGTTAATATTATATTCTTATTTATAAATGCAATTCAATTTAAAAATTATTTTATAGTCATGGTTGAAAGAAACTTGTGAACTTTATAAATGGACTCACACTAAATCTCCTCTAATATGGAGAGAAATTGGACTTAGTCAAACTCATGTAAATTATATTGGAAGTAGTTATCAATTTTGGGAATTGTTGCATAAATATTATAACATCACATCATATTTAAATAAAGAAGAACTTGACGCATTACAAGCAGATTTATTAATTGTACAAAAATATATAAAAAAATTATCTATATTATATAATTCTAATCAGATTTATTAAATTTTTTTAATAAAGGCTCATAACATAAAAAGACAAAAAAGCAAACATTTACAAATACAAGAAAAATGTCGTAGAATAATGATAATAGGAGCAGGAAGATCAATGTGTCCAGATCTTGTGTCTCAATTATTAATGACAAAAGAACTCTGGATGACTCATGGAATCGTTATTAGTTTATATGATCAACCAGGATGTTTTTTTAAACTTAGGAGAATTTTTAAAGATGCAAGAACGATAGGTGCTGGTTTAAATACAGTAAATATCGTGGAAAGTATTCCTGACGGACTGAAAAATTGTGATATATTAATTTATCTTGATAGTTTTATGCGGTATTTATTATTATTATTATAAAAAATAATAAATTTATTATAATTATTATTGTAATATAATTATAATTATAATTATAATTATAATAAACTGTTAGTATTTATATATGCTCATTTTAGAGAAGATAATGAAGGAACAGAAAATTGGTTGCAACGTAATTATAAAATTATAGAAAATTTATCTGCATATATAAACGAATATGCACCTTCACATATGAAGATAATTTTTTGTTCAATGAGTCTTCCATGTTTTTATGCTAATATTATGCTTGAACTTGTTACAAAATTATCAAGTACAAATATTGTAGTTGCTAGTGCTCATTATGGTTTGGAACTTATACATACATTTGTGAATTCATTGGGTCTTACTCACCAAAATTTTGGTTGTCCACCTATTTGGGGTTTCTTAGGTTGATTTATATTTATATAAAAAAAAGTATTATTATTAGTATATCTTATTATACATATGTATTAATATTAAATTTAATTATAGGAATCAATCATTTTGTAGATGTTGATCATATGATTCAAAAATATGATATATATTATCCACATAAAAAAGCTTTAAATTCGAATGAAACTACAATACCATTTAGAATCAAATATTCAGAATTAAGATGGTTTTTTTACATGGCACATGATAAAGATCCATATAAAAATCATTTTAAACGTAAGGTATATATACGAAATTTGTTATACTCTTCTATATTCTATACATATGAAAAAAAATGAATTTTATTTAGGCCCTTGTTCGATATCAAGTAGGCAGATCAGAAGATTTTCCAAAATGTAGAGCTATTTGTGATCTTTTGAAATTATGGTATAGCAAAAAAAAAATCATTGGAGACGAAATTATATCATTGGGAATCGCATCTGATGGTAATATAAAATAAGAAAAAATCATAGAATAAAATAGGACTTTAAATTTTTTAGGTTCATTTGGTATACCAAAGGGATTAGTGTTTTCACAGCCAGTATATTTAAAAGAATGTGAAGATGGCACACGAAAATGGATTCCTTTCAAAGATTTTCCAATACCAAACATGCCAATTTCTATATTTCAAAATTTTATAGATACTGCTATGGATATTAAGGAAAAAATAATTAAATTAAAAAACGAAATTGATATAACGAAAATTTAATTACTTATTTGATAATTTACTTTTCAAGAAATTTTTATTAAAAAAATTACAATTTTATTGTATTATGTAATACATAAAAATACTAAATTATTCAAATTTATTATATAACATATATGTATATTCAGATTAATCATTATAATATGCACATATAATCATTAAAATTGCACATAATTTTATAAGTGATATTTTTAGCAGTGCATTGCATTAAAACAATTCAATAAAAAATATAATTTTAAATATTAATGACTTGCAAATTAATTATGTAATATTGAAATTATTTTAAAAATACAAATTATTAATTTATTAATGAAGAACATAAGAAGAATAATAAAGTTTCTTAAAATAAATTTATTACCTAATAATACAATTGAATAAATTAATTAAGTAAAGTTAGCTATTGATCACTTAAAAAAAATTATTATATTTTATCATGATATTTTTCACAAAAAGATAATTATGGGAATAATACTTTTCACCATGTGTAATAATGTACTCGAATTTAATTATAGTTTCTGTATACAGAAAATGATATAACAAGTTATTACCAGCTTAAAATCTATTGTTAACAACTGGTAATCCATACCATTTTATATCTAGTAGATAGTTCTTTATACAGGATGTTATGTCACAATGGTAGACAAATGGATAATGCATTTCGTATTATCATATGATTATTTTATCCCCATCATTGAAATAGTGTACAATATAACTGTATAGGTATTTTTTGGAAAGCGTTCAATGATTATTGCCAAAATAATGAAAATGCATAAAAAAAAAGTTAAAATTATATAATTTTATGTATTTTAAGAGGAAATGATATATTAAAGACTTCAAACCCAAAAAATAAAGATAAGAATGTTAAAAATAGGTGAATTTGAAGAAAATTTTTTTTCATCAATAGTTTCTATAATTTTTGTTTGTTTGTTGCAGATTAATAAAAAATATTGTGCAATAAATTTTACAATGTTTTTTTTTAATCGATCATTCTCAATTGCTATAAGTAAAAAAATGAATGTTCAAATTGCACACCATTATAATAGATATTGTAAAAAACTGCGTTCTGACACAAGAAATCTCAGATAATTTCAAAATTATGCTACAAAATTGATAAACATGATATATGACAAATTTTTTAGGCAGTTTTTGCTCGAATAGCTGCACGTTTTCCTGTAACAGCCTGTAAAACAAATAATTGATTATTAGAAAAGTTTTTAAAAATATCAAATTAATTATAAATGCTATAAAATTTTTTTAAAAATAATTACCTGAAAACCAGATTTTATACTAGCTACTGAACATCTTGAACCACAAGTTTCACATTGTAAGAAAAATAGTCGGGTATCTTTTTGAAGAATGGTGTCTGGAGAACGACAAGTGTGGCAGGTAACATATTCTTTAATGTATCTCCTAAGAACATTTTCTATTTGTTTCTGTTGAAAACGACCCTTAATGATAAGTTGACTATTTCCATCAACAGAACCACTAGTTCCTAATTCAGCGAGTAAAAAGTCGAGTAAATGTTTTGGTTGCCTATGAAGTGTTTTGCATATCTACAATTAAAAATTGTAAGACAAGTAATAAAAAAAAAAGAATTTAGAATTTATGAATTTAAATAAACAAGTATTATTATAAAACTAACCTCTGTAAAGTTAGCAAAAGATGTTTTTTTAGTGCCTATACGTACTACTTGTGGAGGACGCATGACGAACTTCTGTTTTTTACCAGCAACCATATCTGGATTTTTTTCTCTCATAATATTAAATACTCTTACCAATAATTCGTCATAAGTATAATCTCTGTCCGATCCAACCCAACTTGTTTCTTCTATTAAGAAATATAATATTAATTTAATATATGATTATACATTGAGAAAAATGATAAAAGATTTAATAAATAAATTTATTAATCAATATATTAAATCTTTTTGTTTTTAATTTGTAAATTTTAATTTATATATATAGTATATAAAACCACATTTAACTTAAAAAAAAAAAGAAAATTTTATTTGAATAATTAATTTTTTATTATAATATTTGTAGAATCTAAAAAAAAATTATTAAAATATTAATAAGTTTAATAAACAAAAAGTTGTAAATATAATTTTTAGTAATTTTCTATTACTATACAATATACAATATTGCTCTGATATTAATAAAAATATATTCAACATACACTTTGTTGTGTTATATGTAATTAATATTATCAAAGACAATACACAGATTTTTAACAATTATGAGTGTTATTTCTTTCATTTCAGTTTGCAATTCTTAATATTTTGAAAATGAGAAACATTAAAATGAGAATGGAATAGAAAGAACATATCGAATATTATTTGATAATGAGTTACATAAGTCTACAAAATTATAGTGAAGATACATGAGAAATTCTGCTTCTATTATTAAGATAAAAAAATAAAGGCAATATTGTTGAACGTAACAATATTCTTGTTCAATATTAAATATCAAAATATTATTCAATATTTAATATACATTAAATATATACACAATCTTATTATTCAAAATTTTTTCATATTATTTATCATTTAATTTGATGAAAATATATAATAACAAAGAAAAATAACAATTTATTTTATGTTGGAACTAAAATAATGAAATGATATATAAAATTAGTTATTATATAAATATGATTATTATATATATATATATATATTTAGAATATTATACAGAAAACACGAAATACATATTTCTTACCGTATTCTGCACTTCGCTCAGATTCAGTGCAGCATGTTAACAAATAATGTGTAACATAAACAACTAGTTACTTCAAATAATGATATTTTTGCAATATATAATATTTACCATTTTCTTTATCTTCAATTTCCTTACGCTCTTCTTCAGCCACTAATTCATCAAGATCTTTCTTTTTCTTTTTTTTCTTTTTAGTTTTCGAGAAGTCCATATCTAAGTCAAAAGTGTCATCCACAATAACTTCTTCTGTTTGTTGTTCAACAACATCCTTTTCAAATTATAAATTATAAATAATATATATAATATTTAAATATATTATAGTATATAAATTATAATAAATAATACATTATGTATTTTAATAATATATTATGTTATTAAATATAATTTCATATACAATTACACATTATGTTACATATATACTACCTCTTTTTTTGCATCAGGCAAAGCTGCATCAAGTTCATCTAAATTAAATGCTTTTTTCTTCTTCTTTTTCTTTCTTCCAAAATTTTCTAAATCCAATGCTTCGTCATCTTCAGCTGGTGCAGAAGATTCAGGTTCCTGATTTTCTTTGTCAATATTTTCCAAGACATCTCCCGTATTACCGCTTTCATTAAATGCTGCATCAAGATCAAAAGTAGTTTTCTTTTTCTTTTTTTTCTTTTTCAAAGTAGGATCAAATACCTATAAATTTTTTTAATTATTACATTATTATATGAATATATTATTATTATATATGAAATTTCATATTTTATTATTTTATTATTATATATAATATTTAAGAAATTTAGTAACTTTATTGATATAATAAAAGATTATTATTAATTATCTTAATTAATCTAATATATTTTTATAGAAATTTAAAAATAATTTTTTTAAATATACTATGTTAAATACATTTCAAAATATTTCATAGATTAAATATAATATTATATTATATTCGTAAGCATGGAATATTACAATAAAGAAAAATATTACAATAAAATATTTATCATGATATATTGGTAATAAATATATATATATATATTTGTACATTTTTTTCGAATATTATCCACATGGTTTTGAGGTTGGAATGTATAAAGTAGCATTTTTCTTATTATATATAAATTACCTTACAAAATATTCTTTTACATAGATTTAAATTTTATCTTTTATTTATAAATATTAAAATTAAACTAAAAAATCAAGAAGTATGTCAAGATAATCATACTCTCATGCTTTTCCAATACGACATGGATTCTTTCCTAAAGATATAATTTTAATATTATTACATACCGAATCTTCTTCAGTCATTTTGAAAATTTTTCTAAATACTTTGGTGTCTTCAATTATCTTATTAATTTGCTTAGCTTTCAAATATATATTAGCATCTTTATCACGCGGGTCTCAATACTTTCGTACTGTCTATACAGTGCATTCACGTCTTGTTAACGAATATTGCATCAGAAATTCGACTTCTAAGTACAAAGAGCCATTCACACTTCCAAATATTCTATATGATTCACACAGCCTAGTTCACTATACAAAGAGAAGATACTTAGAAAGAATGCGGATTTTATTGGTTATTTCTTATAGATTAAAATATTTAAAAAAATATTAGTCAAAATTTGCATTATTAAAAAATCAAATTTTGTCATTGTATTGTTTTGAGTATTATTATTTAATTTTAATTTCAGTTATAAATTTTTTAATTAAAAGATAATTTGAATTTGATCCGTACTGATGCTTTTATTGTCCAATCGGATTGAGTAAAAATAATTTATAAAAAACTTAACGTTCATAATAAAACTTAAACAAAATTTTATAAACTTATAATTTTCTAATCATGAATTTAAAGAACAATACAAAACTAAGTAAATTTTTAGATACAAAAAATGAAATTAAAAAAAAAAGAGAAAAATAGAAAGTCATGCAGCCATTTTTCTATGCTGTTACTTTGTAAGGTCTTGCACATATATATTTTATCGATCTTTAATCTCTGAATTAAGCAATAGGAATTTAAGCGCGAATTACAAAAATAAATAAGCTTGAATTGCTTTCTATTATATTATATTATATATATAATATAATTTTCTATGTATATATATGATTATTAAGTGTTATTTATATTAATTATATTAGTAATGTTATAATTTTATTATTATGAATTTGAATCTCAGAACGAATAGATTTGTTGTGATCAAATTATTATATATTCATTAAAAGATTATATTTCAATTAATTTATATATTATTCGAATTAATATAAATATAAATAAATAAATTTATTTATAATAATAAAATATACATATTTTTCCTTCATGCTTTTGAAATTAATATTTAAAGGCATAATACATATAACATACACATATAGATATAACAAATAAGTCACATAAATTAAAAAATTATTCCAAAAATTGACTTATATTTGACTTACGAAAGTATTTGAATTAAACGTACTCGTAGTAAAACTTTAAATAATAAAAATTTGTTTTTTCTATATTTAATTTTATTATTTAAGAAAATATTATATTAATTTTTTCAAAATAATATTATAACTATAATAAAATACAACTAAGATACAATTAAGATTATATAATAATATATATGTGTGTGTATATATATATATATATGTATATATATATATAGAAATGTTAATAAACTTTGAAGTAAATTTGATAATAGAAAAAAAATAACGTGAAAGGAATATATATTGAAAAATTGTAAATTTCTTAAAGATGAAAAATCGATGTAGGACGATGATCTTTTTGTTTTTTAATTACATTCATGTATATTCATTAGTCTTAAATTATTGTTGAATTAAAATATGGTAATAATGTGGTAATATGGTAATAATATGGTAATATGCAATTGAATGTTTCCGACATCAAAAATAAAATTTCTGATAATTTTCCAAAATATTTTGCAAAATATTGTAACTAATTTTTTTTACTATATTTAAATAAATATTTTTTTTACTATATTTCCAGAACAATTAATTATTTTTTATTTAAAATTATTATATATTAATTTTTTCATTTATTTATTAAATTTATGAAAGGAATACAAGAATGAAAGAAATATCATGATCTGATATTATCAT